AGCATCCAGCTGTTAAGAGAGGGCATATGCATAAGAACACCCACACTTGCAGATAATACCCACTTGACCTGGCTTCAATGACCGGATGATGAGAGCTCAACTAGAAGAAAGAAGAGGAAAAAAAGAGTAATCTGATACAATTTGATGAACTTGACCTGCACCTATGGATGCAATATCTCAAAAGAGGGAACAAATCTTTACAGCGAGGATCCTTTCCACTCCCTCAATACACAGAGTAGACAGGGATGGGCAACTTGGACATTGGTTACCCAAAATGTGGGGGGCTACAAAGGCAAGAAGTGACTGGCTTACAAGTTTTCAAGAGGGAGCCTAGACCCAGAGGGCATGGAGGAAGGTAGAATCTCCACTGAGTAGTTTCCAATCTGTCTGGGCGGGCCTGATGAAAGGAGATGCATATAGATCTCTTATGATACAATAGTGAATAATTGTTATCAGGAATCATTGTGAGGGTTGGAAATATAAAGGTAGACATTTTGTAGCAAAAGGAGGGGAGTGATTGACTTTGCAGTCTAGGAGCGGAGGTCCCTGGGACCACCAAGGGAGAAAAACGAAGAGCGGGTCCCTACCCAGAGAAGCAGTGACATCAGAGATGGAGGCAGAAAAGATGATGTGGAGAGATGGAGCAGCTGGGGACTTGAGACTCAGAGAGGGAGAGGGGCTGTGTGCTGACGACCGGGGGGAGCAGGCTTGTAGGGTTGGTTGATGATGCATGGTGGGGATTGTAATCATGGCAATGAAATGATATACGATAGGATGACTGTAAAGCTAATGTTCTCCTATGTAAACTATCATATAATTTATAATAAAATATTTTTTAAAAATATGTGATAAACAGCAGTTATAAATTGCTAAAATGTCCTGAGATTATTTTGGTAAAATTACTAAAATCTTTCTACATTGAATCACAACATTAATAGTAACTGAGTGAAAGGCTATTTTGATTTTTCTCTTCCTTACCTTTAATTGCTACTTCAGTCTCAAAATAGTTATTGATATAGGTTCACAAATATGAATTACCACAATATTGCAACTAATACACCAGAAAATGTGACAAGACCAGCAACAAAAGAAATAAATAGTACATGCTTGTAGTGTGTGCAGATTAAACTACATGTCATTGTAATCTGGGAATAATGATAGCTCTGACAGGATCACATTAGAAGGTTTAAGAAGTGAATTAACATAGAGAAAGAGCTCTGGTAGCGTAGTGGTTACGAATCAGGCTGTGAACCTCACAGTCAGCAGTTCGAAAGTACCAGCTGTTCCACGGGAGAAAGAGGAGGCTTTCTGCTCCCATAAAGATTTATAGCCTTAGAAACCCTGTACAGGGTCGCTATGAGTTGGAACCAACTCCATGGCACATAACAACACCATTAGCCCTTTAGGTATATCGATACATGTAAATGGGCTTAGAGTCCTGGTGTGGCACTGAGGGTTAATGTGTTGGACTCCAAGGTCGGTTTGAACTGCAAGGTCAATGGTTCAAGCTCTTCAGCCACTCCTCAGAAACCTAATACAGGGTCACTAGAAGTCGGAATCGACTCAACGGCATTTAACAAGAACAGCAGCAAGCTGGGCTTATGAAAAATGTTTTTGTTGTTATAACTAAGTACTGGTATATTTCTATAAAAATAATAAATTCTGATGAAGGAAGACATGGAGGAATGGAAGAGCTGAAGTGAATAGAGATAGCTACTGTTGACTGATGATACATAGAAGGGATTATGATCAGAATGAAATAAAGAATATAATTTCCTAAATGTAAAACTGATGATCTGTAAACCTTCATTCAATTCACAATAAAAAGTTTTTTAAAAAAAGAAAACGTTCTTGCTAAAAGAAACATTAAATAATGGCTACTAGGGCTATGTCAGAAAGGAAAATTATTTGCTGACTAGAGGACAGATACATGTTAACTTGGGCGATGGTTAGGCAATACACAACAAGAGGGAGATTAGTAGAGGAAAGATGAAGGTAATGGAAGACACAGGGAGGAATGCAAGTGTTAAAGTGATTAGAGATAAACACCATTAACTGATGGTACAAGGGGCACTGAAATCATTGTCATGACACAAAATATGTGATTTGTTGAATGTAAAACAGATGATCTGCTTTGTAAATCTTCACCCAATTCACAAAAAAACATTTTTTAAACTTTCTGCTGAAATACTACACAAACGTTTTACAATCATTCTGGTGTCAAAAGGATTCATCTAGAGCCCTGGGGCCTCAACTTTCCCCCTCTGACAATGTCACCTGGTGTAACATGCCACCACCCCTACAGATACCCTGTTCTTTAGTCAGGAAGGACTGCCACTTCACGAACGCCCCTCCATGATGGGTTCTTGAGCTGCTCCTTGACTAAAACCTTGTTTTTCTCATCCATAAAATGGGAATACTAGTACTTCATAGGGTAATTTTCTAGTTAGAACAGTTAAGTCAACACTTATTATATATGGGTTGCTAATTACTGCTATCATATTTATAATCTGGGAGCCCAGAGGTGATTAAGGTGCCATACACAGGCCTCCAGAAGCTTGGATTAGAAGCACCCACTACTTCAGCCAATACTTAGAACGTTTATTATAGTAGCTGTAACAGATTGGCTAGTCTGTACCTCTTCATCTACCTCTACCAATCCTGACAACCCCAACTGAGAGGGAGGAAAGGAGCAGGGGACAGGGCAGACCACATACCTGGTTATTTTTCCCTTTTTGATGACATTTATTTTGCATCTCTGGGGAGGCCTCCCAGCGGATCTGGTAGGGGAGAGGGAATAGACTGATTCATTGACCCTAATGCCGTTCCTTGTCCCGTGAGGCCAGGGATAGGAACTAGACTCCAGGGATGTAGGAAAGTTGGGGTGAGCACGAATTTCAGGAGGCACGTTGGATACAAGGGAGCCTTGGGCAGAGAAGGACAGCCCTGTCTGAGCAGGGGGCTGTGGAGGGCTGGCAGGATTTTTGGAAAGTTGAGGCCCCAGGAAGCTGATGAGTGGTCCAGTTCCCAGACTGACCTCTTTGTGAGTCCCATCTCCTATGTCCTCAGCGTTGAGAGAGAACAGGGCACCTCGGGCTCCCACCAGCAGCTTCCCTGAGTCCTCCTCCAGCAGCAGTGTTGAGTAGTTCTGGACTCGGCCCTTGAAGTGCCGGGTCCCGGAGAGCTCTGGGGAAGCAGGAGCAGTGAGCGTAGCTCCAGCACTGCCTTCCCATCCCCATCCCTGGCTCCCACTGTCTCTTCAGGCTGGAAATCTAACCTTCATAGGGGATGGTCATCCGTGGGATGGCATCTAGTTCTCTGGATGGTCTCCGCGATGAGGGTCCAGGAACTGCCGTGGCTGTGAGGAGGCTCAGGAGGAGAGGCCAGAGGCTCCCCCACATCTTCCTGGGAAGGCCCAGACCAACAAGACTCCCAAAGGGCACCAGGGCCAAAGTCACAAGAGGGGGTTATGGGAAAAACAATTTCAGGGATCACGGTCCGGAGAGGTTACTTGTAAGGTCAGGGATCATGAAGGCATGGGAGTTACTGAGTCATGGGGCCAGGGAGGGTCCTGGAATCGGGGAGACATGGGGCCACAAGATTGTGTGGCCATGGAATCCCAGTGAAGAGGTCAGAGGGAGGGACAGGTCACGTGCTGCCTTTCTGCATTAGATGCCATGGTGGAGGGATCGTAGGTCACAAATGGGGTCACTCTGTCCCCAACAGTGGGACTAGTCCTGGTTTTCTGAGGTTTGTTTTCTGAAGAGAAAGCATAAAAAAAGACTCTCTGATCTATGTGTAGGGTAAAAGGTGATGGCACCATCCCCCCAGACTTCTAGGGCGCTGAGTTTACAGACCGGGGCCAATCCCAGTCATAGATCCAAGTCTCTGCTCTGATGATGCAGGAGGTTGGGGTGGAATGCTTCTTACAGAACCCCACACTCCCCACATTGCCTTTCTCTGGTTGAGGCAGAAACTTAGAAGATTTGGGGAGAGTTAGGGTTCTCAGAGAGAGCTCCAGCTCCTCACAACAGTGAGCTGTAACCAGGCAGCCACAGGCCCTACTGCCTGTGGGGCTGCCTTATGCAGAAAGGCCTGGACAGAGAGGCTTAATGAGCCTTTGTTTATTCTGTCCAATTTTCCCTTTGTTTTTTCTTTTCCCTGGCTCCGGAGCTCCCTCTGGAATTTCTCTTTAATTAGACGCTTTTCCTGCCCTCCCTGGCATTCCTCTCTGAGGGGGCGCACATCTCTGTCCTGTTCCTGCGAGTTTATACTGCACTTTCTGGCTATGTAGCCACACCTGCAAACAGGTACTCACAGGCTCAGGGGCATCTGGGACCCCTCTAACTGCACAGGCATAGGGTCTGTGCAGGAGGCTCTAGGGAATTGGGACATGAACACGTGGAGAAGGTAAGTGATGGGATCTCTGAGCTCATGGTTGGAGATGATACACACACCTGAATCCTCTCAATCAGTTACAGATAGGGTGGGGATGGGCTGTGGCAAGCCTTTCTCTTACAATAGGCCTCCCCAGCTCCTGTAACTAGAAGAAAGGTATAGTGGTTTACTTCAGAAAAATCAGTCACAGAAAATCCTATGGGGCACAGTTCCACTCAGACATACAAACACATGAGGTTGCCATGAGTAGGAATCAATTGCACAGCAGCTGGCTTTGATGTGTTTGTTTGGTTTTAGCTCTTGTAGCAGGCCTCCTGATCTGAGGGGCTCCTGAGGCTTCCTGGGTTGGGGTAGGTATGAGGATTCCACAGACAGGGCCAGTGGGGCCACTGGCCTCTGCCCTCTCTTCCATGTCAAATATTAATTATCCGACCTTGAAGAGAGGGGAGGGACCAGGAGCTGACCAAAAGTTGGCCCAAGTGAGAACAGGAAGTTGGAACGATTATTCAAGCCTTAAATAAAGGTCAGTAATGAAGTACAGGGGGAAAATAAAGTATGACATGAAGTATGAGAGGAAGAGAAGGGGGTCCGTGGACCACAGAAAGGGCACCCGTTTCAGGTTTGGAATGTAGGACAACAGGAGGCCCCAAGCAACCCCACCCCCTACTGTGGAGTCACACCTGTTTACCTTTAGGGCCTCCTATTTGCTTAGGGCTAGGTGGGTGGAGGGGCAATTTGGCTAGAAAGGAGGAACACACCTCTTAGTAAGATGAACCCCTCAGAGCATGTCCGCCTGCTGTATTTCTGCCAGTGTATCCAGAGGAGGGTGATGTGCATGCCCATGGGGTGTAAGGTGGCCTGTGTATACTCAGAAGAAGCTTTCTGCACACACACGCTCACACAGAGGGCCATGACCATGGCCACATGTGGTCACACACATTCACATGGAAGGCTGTATTCAAGTGCTGAATCATTTGAGGTCACACATCCTCAGACGCTGGTAAGGAAGGGTCTTGCATATATACACAAAGGTGTAGGGACATGCACCAAACCCATTCATACATGTGGGTTAGGCACACACATGTTCATATGAGACAGGGGGGTGAGACTAATGTGAAATTGTTCACTACAGATTAGTAAGTAAACACAAGTAAGCCTGTGCTTATTTTGCTGATTTCCCTGTCAGGGAGTGTACATTTGAAAACAGGCTTTGATTCTGTAGGAAGTGCTGTGGGGTTGGGAGAGAGACAGATGCCAGCCCTATCTGGAGGCAGGAAATTTGCTGTGAGAAAATGTGAAATTGTTCACTACAGACTATAAAGAAAGTGCTTCCCTTGCTTACTGACTAACCCGACACTGTATGAGGGTGAAGCACATGTGTGTAGCACACGATTACATGTACATGGACGTACACAAGTTCTGAGGCTGCCAGTGTTCACAAGGGGTGACACAAAGCAGAACCCCACCTCCCTTTCCCAAAATCAACAACGGCCAGTTTTAAGGCCAGATTCCAAGTGTGCATGTGTGTACGGGTGGAGGGGACTTCTGACCTCGGATGGGCACATGGGTCAAGGCAGCTCTGCAGGGGACAGAGGGATACCTAACCCTGGCAGAAGCAGGTCCCTTGCTTTGGCCAAGGAAAGAGGGAATGAATCCTGTAATTTAGTAGCTCCCTACCCCCATGCAAACAGCAGTTCTACAAAGGCTTAGTTGGACTAGAGCTTTCAGCCCCAATTTAACCTGTTGGGAGGGTGGAGCTGAATGGGTGGGGCAAATCCAAGCTTTCCATCCCAGTGGAGAAAAGGGTTCAAGGTCTCGGGTCCACACCCCACGCGCTACCTAAGTTCCACAGTTCAGGTTTCTCTTGGAACCAACCCCCGTGAACCATCTTCCCAGGGTGGAGGAAGCTGGGGTGGAGAGACCCACACACAGTATCAATGGAGGATCTGCAAGCTGTCGACCGACCTTCATCCCAGCTGTCCACCTGCCTATTGTAGGGGCATCTCCCGCTGTCCTGTAGGATGGCGGTTTTCCCTAAACTGAGTGAGCTCCTTCCCTGCCTCCCCGACCCGCCCACAGCAATATCCTAGACAGTACGAGGCTTCCTTCCCTCGGCAGGTCTAACCTCAGTCTCTTGCTTAGTTCGAGGACAAGCTCTCCTTCGATCCCGCCGGGCGCCGTGACCCAGATCCCGGAGAATGCTGTTGGCCACGCGGGCCTCCGTTCCGCACCGGTGCTCGACTCCGTTGTTGTAGGGTTGTGCTCAGCGCGGCCCGCGGCCTGGCCAGCGCCCCTGTAGAGCCTTTCTGCGGGATCAGAGAGCAGTGCGGGGGAGCTTAGCCGCGAGAAAGGCCTGGTCCAGCTGCAAGGTGGATTGGACGCCAGGAAAGCCTTGCTTGGCCGCCGCCCCCCGGCCCCGCCGCCTCCCGCACTCCCCACCCCCTCACCTTTGCGCTTGGATCCCAGGCCATAGAAACGACTTCGTGCGGCTCCGCGGCCCCACGGCCCCGGCTAAGGGAGGAGGGGGCCGCGGCTGGAGGAGGGGCGGAGAGGCGGAGTCAGGGGTGGGCGGGGACCAGAGAGGTGGGGCCGATGGGGTGCAGTGTTGGAGCGCGCGGGGCTCTTCCTTTGCGTCCGGCCCTAGTAGCAGTATACATAGCTAGTTTGAGACCAAGGCTCACACATAGCCTTCGGCGGCGTCTGGAATATTGTGTCTCCCGGGAGATTGAGTGGATCTCTGCCCTCTGGTCCAATGTCTCAGGATCGCCCCCTGGTGGTGGTTTTTACCACTTTCCCCTAGTCTACAACCCCAGTACCCCTGTTGTTGCTGTGACGTGGAGTCGCTTCCGACACAGACACCTAGCGAACCTGTACAGGGTTTCTGAGGTTGTAAATCTTTATGGGAGAAGAAAGCCTTATCTTTCTCCCGTGGAACAGCTGGTAGTTTCAAACTGCTGACCCTGAGGTTAGCAGCCCGATTCATAACCACTACGCTACCAGAGCTCCTCAAGTACCTCCGCCCCCCCCCCCACGCCAACCCCAACCCGAGACTTGTTTTTAATTTCGGAAGTCTGCAAACCTGTGAGAGCTTATCCTTTCTGGGGGCTCTCTGGACTGTCCTCTATACAGGCCCTCTGGTTCCCTTTTGTTCCTGCCACCCAGCTGTGCTTTCTGCCTGATGCAGAGTAGGTTGTGGTTATGTGCCGTGGAGTCAGTTCCGACTCATAGCGACCCTGTGACAGGGTTTCCGAGGCTGTAAATCTTTATGGGAACAGAAAGCCTCATCTTTCTCCCGCGGAACAGCTGGTAGTTTCGAACTGCTGACCTTGAGGTTCGCGGCCCGATTCGTAACCACTATGAGTGTAGGTGATAGCCCAATAAGTATGGTAAGCACGGGCTTACTTGTGAGTATTTACTAATCTGAACTATCATATATTTCACATCAGAGATTCTGCTTCTAGGTCTGGTGGGCATGTCTCCTAACCCCACAAGCATCTTCCTAGGAATCAAAGGCTCCTTTCAAATTTACAAGCCCTGGCCCAGATGGAGTACCCAGTGAGCAAGGTAAGCACAGGCTTACTTACCTGTAGTAAAGTTTCATGTTGACTATTCACTAGGTTAGTAAATAAACACAATTAATCTCATGCTTATTGAGTAAGCCATGCATGGCCCAAGGTGGGGAGGGCTCCTAGATGGAGACCAAGCTGAAGGTCTCACTCACTAGGACTGCTGGGCCTAGAGAGGGGGTCAGTCTGGAGGGGATGAAGTGTACCTGCTTGATGAGCAGCGCACACAAAGAAACCACATCTGTTTACTCACCAAACCTTAGCCACTAAATCCGGTTCAATGCCAAGACACAGAGACACATGTGAATTCTTCTCCAATCCATCTGGAACTTCTGTGGGTACCCCTCCATAAGCAGTCATGTGTCTTGTCCTTCCTAGCCTGCCACCATACTCAAGAAGCAATCTAGGAAACCTCTCAGAAGCAACCTAACACTTTTCATTCTACTAGCATAGTCCTTTCCTGCAATCCTTGATCTGCAGTTTCCAGA